CTGAAAAAAGATGAAAGTTTCATCGATAGGTTCGCGAGTATCGCGATGCATCCTCGAGCTGTCATAAACCTTCAATGATATGTCATAGTCTGTAATAATTTTTTTAATCATACATGTGTGTATGAATTGTTTGAATAATTTTTCTTAGAATTGCTCAATTTAGATAAAAATTTATTTCAAAAAGTTTCGTGAACGAGATGTGGAAATATATCATTCACATCACGCAGACGATTGTCGTTTATATTTTTTAATTTTATTTTCTGAAGAAGGATGAAAGTTTCATCGATAGGTTCGCGAGTATTGCGATGACACGTTGCATCCTCGAGCTATCATAAATTTTCAATGATATGTTGTGATCTGTGATCATTTTTTTAATCATACATGTATGTATGAATTAAATGTTAAATGTTAAATAATGTAATTAAATGTTAAATAATTTTTCTTAGAATCGCTCAATTTAGATTAAAATTTATTTCAAAATGTTCCGTGAACGAGATGTGGAAGTATATCATTCGCATCACGCAGACGATTGTCGTTTATATTTTTTTATTTTATTTTATTTTCTGAAGAAGGATGAAAGTTTCATCGATAGGTTCGCGAGTATCGCGATGACGTTTGCACTCGTTTCCGGCACAGTGCAACAAACATCGTCATGGGAGAATAAAGGGGGGATGGATGCTGACGTAGCAAGAAGATTGTCCACAAGGATATGTCTTGACATTGTCGTGAAAAGTGCAGAGTTGGGTTGTAGTCTTGTAGACGGACAGACGAATCTATCATGGATGGATGGATGGATGGCTGGCAGACGAGTTGGATGGATGGATGGATGGGTACACGGTCGGAGGCTGGTCTTTCATAAAATATGCAGGCTGCAATCACGTCTCTTGAATGGAAGAGAGCTTGAAAAAAAGTAAGAAGGGGGGCGACAGTGCATAGCTGGTTGGAGGCGAGATGATGGCATCGTAGGGGAAGCAGAGAAACGGCGGGCGAAAGAGGACCAGAGGAAGCGCGAGAGGACGTGCCTTTATATACGAAGAGCGAGACCTGCAATACTGCTGAAGCTGCGAGTCCACAGCCGGATTCGCTGTGCTTGCGTCCGCAAAAAACGTTCATAACTAGCCAATCCCGCTGTCGCGCATTATGTCAACGACCGCATCCGATAGATGTTTGTGTTTGTGTGTATAAATGCGTCGAAAATGCATCCTCGCGCATCGTATGCGATATATTTCCTCGAAGTTGCTTAATATCTACGAGCACTTTGAAAGTTGCGAATATATCGGCGGATTTCGATAAAAGGATGAAACTTACAGAAAAGTTTCGTTTTACTCGACAAATATTAAAAAAGAATATAAATAATTTTATAAATTCGAAAGTAATTTAACAAATCCGAAAATGTACACGGATGCATAGATAGAAAGAAAAAAAGATAATTTTTTATATTACGACTTTGAGAAAGAGATTTGAAATAATTTAAAATTAAAAGCGTTATAGAAAAATTAAAATAAACAGTATAATAAAATTATCGAGGACCTATATCGTAAAACTGATGTTTACGTAGCGCAAAATACGACGCTTTACTGCGTGCCGATGCATTACGTATGCGATGAGTATTATATGTGGGGAAAGCGTAGCGTGGCGTGAAAATTTCAGATATCGGTGGGTGTTCAAAGGGTCGATCAACTCGATGATTCCCGTACTTTGAATTTGAAAGAAACTATTTAAATTGTAAAAATCTGACCCAGATTCCGCGTCGAGAGCGTACGAGATACTTTATAGGATCCCATCGGTCCCTTCAATCATTCGGAAATTAAAATTCATCAAAAGCCGTATTCGCGTGCAAACTATCTACATCGCCGTAATAAAAGTTCAATCTTGAAGATTAACTAACACACAGATCGGCGTAATTAAATTGCAACGTCAAGGTAGCATTAGCGCATCATCTTTTCAAGATTGATAATAAACATATACATGCATTTTGAAAATAATATTGAAACTAAAGCTGCTTAACAATTTTGTCACGTTCCTCAAAACGTTTTTACATCGTATGCATAAATAGATACACACACATTTTCGTTACAAGCGTAAAAACTATTTGCACGACGTGTTTAGCGTCGAAAAGCAGAATGTTCCTTAAAAGGGACCAGACATTGGATGGTTCTGGAGGATTCAGAAAGCCGGTCGAAAGGGATTCAACCGGGGAAAAGCATAGACCGAGCTGGAGTGGCACCCACTTCTCGCTGAGATATGCATGAGCTGGCTGGAAGTTACGCTACAACTACGCTGCTTACATAATATAAACTCCCGAGGGGTCATCCTCGACTGAGGCACCCGGAAAAACCGGTAGGCGCCGTTTGATGGGATAGCTCGACGACCACGAGGAGCTATTTAATTTTTTATACGTACCCCGATATGTTTTATTGAGTATTGTCGTGATGGGCGGCGTGCTTTCGTCGTGTTGTCGCGTTTGAAAAGTGAAAATGTTGCCGATCATCACCGTTTTTTCTTCCTGAAAAACGGAGATTTATCGCTGATCTCAGATTGGCAAGAAATATTTCAGAGCGCGAAGCATTTCAGAGAAAAACTTAAAATGTTTTGGAATTTTGGTCCCAAGCAAGTCAATGATATTTTTCCTGGGATTCTTTTATACTTGAATTCATTTATTCATAAATTGTAAACATACAAATAATAAGTTGTCAAAGACTATAAGAGCCAAACGCGGATAATTGTGCGAAACAGAAAAATAATTTTTCTGTGAAACTAATGCTTATGCACAAGATACGGAAATTAATCTTAATTAAATCAAGTAAAATTTATAATCTCTAATCAAATTTATAAAATTCGAGATTCTAATACCCCTCTAACCCCCCAAAGGAGTTATAGGCGAAAAATAACAGGCCGAAAGTTGTTGAATTGGGAAGGATGACAGAAACTGTCGCACAATCACCGCGTTTGGCTCTTATAGCCTTTGACAACTTATTATTTGTATATTTACAATTTAGAATATTATCTTCTTAATTATTTGAATTCATTTAGTATTTATTAGCATTTATTTTAGATGTAATAATTTTACATTAAATTTTCAATTAGATAAATCCTTATTCTTCTTCTTTTCTTTATTAAATGATATACAGACAAAAAGAGACAGTTATATACAGTTTTATGTTCGATAAAATAGATATTTTTCTATTTCCTTTTCAATTTATTAAATTATTAAACTACATATAAAGATAAAATTATGAGAAAGACTAAGAATCGAGATGAGGCCTTCTTTCCTTCTCTTTTTTTCTCAAGACTTTCGTTATCGAGCGTTCGTTTTGCGAATTGCACAGGCACATTTGATGCAGATTAAAGAACATTTATGACGACGATAAAGCGTACGCCAACAGCCCCGGTAAAACTTAACCATCGGTGCCAGCAATAACGATGAATCGAGGGATAAGTTGCTCGAATGATGGGCAACTTTCGGCCTTTTCTGCGACGGTATACCGGAGAAGATTTTCGACACGGTTCGTTAAGCTCGTACGTACATACCGTAAACACGCTACCGACTTGTATTCCTCGCCGGAATACCTTCCCTTCCTGTTTCCTCACGTCGTTGCATCGTGCTTTTATCCCGGTTTTCCTTTGTCGCGCAACTTGCGACAAATATTTATATATAATCGCACTGTGCGAGGTTGCGACAGACGTAGGGATATTGTACTCAACATCGACTATTAATCGTCAATTATGACGCGGTACAACGTGATTACTGCGCCGAGATCAACATCAATAATGCTGTTATATTTTGCGTTAATGAAATGGAATGAACTGGATTCGATAGTAATTATGTATTTTTGATCGTTTAAATTTATAATTGGTAGAATATAATAAGCGCATTGACCGCAGGGATTATTTAAAATATGAATATATATATATATATATTATTTATATTACGCATATAAAATCAAATCTGTTATTAAAATAAGAGCAGAGTGTTTTATGAGCTTGATTAATGTATGAAAATAATGTTAATATACAGAAAATAAAGGTAATAAATAAATATATGTCATGTATATGTTAGTTTCGAGTTTATTTTTATCGAAATTAATAGACAGAAGAGATAATGAGAAATATTAATCTTTCTCTTATTTTTGCTCTTTTATTTTTCCGATATCCTTGAGATTTTCCAACGTGTATGTATCTAACGAAGCGAAAAGAGCTACAGGAAATTACCTAATGCGATATAATAGAGAGAAGTAGTAGTCTCGTAACTGTAAATTACAATTATTACCGCTGCCGGCGCGCACGAATTATGGAGATAGCATTACGTATTGCGTTTATTATTCGTATTGCTATGTTGTGTATATGTTCAGAATTACGGCATATCATTAATGAAAGCGACTTTGTATTTTTTAAGGTTGCATTCGATAAACATCAATTAGTTTTATCGCAATACTTGCGTAATACTCTCTCTAGACTACACTATTTATTTCAATATATATATTGATTTAATTCTGAAGAAATTAATTAAAACTCTAATGTGTGTTTTAATGTTAGTAATTTAATTAATCTTTATAATTAAATAAAAATAAATAAAATAAATAAATAAAAATAATTTATAAACAAAATTAAAATAATTTTTAATTAAACTTTCTTTAATTCTCAATGTGTAATAGAAAATAATTTATTTAAATGTAATCATGAATATATATATTGCAAAAATAAGTAAAATTAATTTATTATACGTAAAATTAAAGTGTTTTAAATTTAAAGTTTACATTTAAGTTTATATATATAAATTTAATATATAATAAATTTAATATATAATATTATATAATATTATATATATAATTATATATATTTGGTAAACAATTTATGGCAATATCGCATCGTCAAAAGATTTATGAGATTCAGTTTCCTACATTTCAGTGTTATCAGCAGCCCTACATTTAATTGTCTTCTCGCGTGTATTGAGATTATTAACATGAAGAAATAACACATTGTCTCTCTTCTGCTTTCAGATCGGGCGGTTGATGCCTGATGGCGCGGGCTGGAACACAACGCTGGAGAAATCCTGCTCCAGAGTAAGTAGACTCTCGACTCAGTAATTACAGAATAAGCATACGATAAGATGCAATGAGATCGTGCATAGATAAATTGGCGAGGAATTCTGCTTATGAAGATTTGAAACGAACACGTGGCCAAATGTCAAAAAACAAAAGACAAAATAAATAAACACACGAGAAGAAACTTTAGCTATTTCGTTTTCGGTTCGAATCTTTAATTTCGCAGTCTCATATCGATCGCTTCGTACTTAAGATTTCACGAAACACTTCATCGTGTTTCTAAATCGTCCATGAACGGGCGAATAAATAAATAAACAACATTTCGGCCATTTGAAACGACGCGAAACTCGAAAACTTTGGCGGATCACATACCGTTTCTCGCCAAGTTCGATATAAAAATAGCGAAAGCGCGACGACAGAACTTCCCATCGCGAGACCTTCGACGGATTTGAATAAAGTCGAGGAGAGAGCCCGAAAGGTTCGCAAGTTTCTCAAAGATTGTGAAATGTTGTTTCGCTCCTCGAAACCGATATCCGCGATCTCATTTCTTGCCCTCTGACTTTTTTTTCTTTATCCGAGACGTAAAAGCCACCGTGAATAGCGTAGATGAACCCAGCGGGCATAATGGAGAACGTAACTTTTCAACGAACTCTTAAATTGGAGATTTATCGATCGAATCTCGATAGTTATAAAAGTACTTTAGCCTCCAAATCCGAATGGTATTTTCAGTTTTACCACACGGAATACTGCTCTTTTAAGTCGCATATTAACCGCCCTTTAGCACGAGAGATCGTGTGCTTCGCGCCATCAATTATATAACGAATTGAGGTGTTTTAGAACCGAACGTTAAACGCGATACAATCGAGCATTATCTAATTCGAGTGTATCACATCGAAACAATATTAAACCGCGTAGCCAGAATCGCGACTGGAAATTCTAATAGAGAAAACACACAGGGCAGATAACACGCTCTTTCTCTTAACGTTCGCTTAAGTGCTAGTATGTGCGTACGAACATAAACGTAGATAGAAGAATAATTCTCTTTGCTCGTTATACGCGAAATGCCGGGGTACGTCGCGGTCGAGGAATTCAGTTTGTACGTGTAACCGCGGCTCTTTGCGGCCGGGTTTCTCGGAGGATCAGAAGATTGCTTCTCGGTTCGTAGCGATGTACACAGCTGCCCGCCGTATTCGAGTCCGCCATCCTTCAGCTCGATAGGGCAAAACCGAAGGAGAGAGCCCCGGTATCTTTGATCAAAGACGTTCCTCGATTGGATACCCTGTCGTGATTCCAATGATGAATAATTGAGGAGCGAGCCACGGGAAATTTCGCAGCGCCAGCGCTATTTCATCGCCAAGATCGCCGACGAGTATCGAGCGTTAAATTTTTTTCGCTCTCGTCAACATCGAGCGCGATACGATCTCTTCCGGTCAGTGTCGGTGTCTTATATTTATACCTAACGTGTCAATAACTTATATTTTATGCTCAAAAGTTTGACTGTGACGATTATTTCTCATAAAAATAATTACGTTTCGGGGAGAAATGGGATTTTTGATTCGATGATTATGATTTACTTGTGGATATGCATTCAAACAACGTATGATTAGATACAATCTTGCTAAGATTATAAATAAATATGCAGGAATTTTTCAAAAATTGCGACAACTATTATTAAAGTGAGTTAATCCAGTTTTCACAATTCCCAAGGATACCTAATAATGCATTATGTGATAATTCGCGCTTTTTTATCGCTGATTATTGAATTTATCGTACATAATTATTATCTGTAAAATTCAATCGCCTCTTCTTTTCATATAAATATTAAAATCATATCTCTGTCGCTTTCCTTCTTATTTCGGGACCCGAGACTGCATAATACGTCGGAATAAAAATCGTATTTCAGCCTCGCACCGGCTCACCCTTTGCACAGCTTTGCCGTCGGCTCGGAATTTAAATCGCCTGGAGTTTAAAAGGGTCAGAGACGAGTGTTTGGCGAAAGGGTTGATTTTGAATACACGCCACTTTTTTCGCGTCGTTCGTGTCGCGCGAAAGGCTCGTGTCGTTGAATTCGTTATCCTTACGCAGATCAGTATTCAAATCGATGCAAGAAAGTAAAATTCTAAAGAAAGAGATATAATATAATGAGATATTTGGTATTTTGTGGACACAAACAGAGACACAGAATTTCCCTCGCGTTATTGTAAGAATGTAATTAAAGTTTTCTCTCGAAAATACACGTCGAAATCACTTTAATCTTGACAGTCTTCGAGTTTCGGGAACCAATCGCTCCTTGATTAAAACGTCACGCGAACTACGAATGAAGTTTTCCAATTAGAAGCGATCAAGGCTTTCCCGCGAATTGTGATAATATTCCCCTATTTGCGCCCATAAAAATGTACATCGAGCAAACCAACGTATCGGCGCTTGATTTTGCGACGTGAACTCTCGTTTCGTTCTTTTTCCCTCGCCAATTCCCTTTATAGCATCCCAATTATAGACAGCAGTCTGGATCGACTGTCTCGTTAGCCGACCATCGCTTTGAAACGAGCGACTCGAAAGAAAGAGCACTCCATCCCACAGATAGAGGTGGATTTTCCCGGTGATGTTGCCGATTCATTAACCGCGTCGCGCGAGCCGGATTTATTATCAGTTATTATTTTTTCGCGGCCGAGCCATCAATTAATTACTTATCGCGAAACTTTCGGCGACTTAACGAGCGGTATCGATTCGGGCGGCGAGTAATATTTTCAGGGATCTCGTCCGCTCTTTACTCTATGGCTCGCCGGTAATAGCGTCGGTACGCGATATACCGCGAGTCTTTTCACGTACTACTGAATCTACCGGTTGGCCGGTAAAAGGCTCTCTTGCGATACGTGTAACTTCTCCGCACGAGAGAGCCGGACGAACGGCGCCGAAGATGAACTCTCTCTAAAAGATTGACTTTGGCGCGCGGCGAGATTACGGGGTATTACGTGGGGCACTCTACGTAGGACTGCGTGAAAAGCTCAAATGCTTTCTACTCGGATTTTCACTCTAAAGGTTAAAGATTATTTTACTTCCAACTTCCACTCGTTAAACGATATAAATCAACTTGTTAGTTTTTCGACGTAAGAAAACTCAGTATTTGACAGAAATTTATATGTCGCGAAAGTTGTGTTTGTAGATTCAATTTTTTTATTTTTAAAAATGTTAAATAAATATATTTTTTAAAGCTGACGTGCAAAAATGAAAATTGATTTAATTTTAAAAAATCGATAATTAATATGTAAAAAAAATTTTAATTAATAATTTTAATTTTAATTAAATTTGTAATAAAACATTGTAGTTTCATATAAGAAGCAGCAAGTGATATCGTTGATAATTATTTAGCGATAGCAATGCTTAAATGAGCAATATATAAAGTGAAATAAGAAAGTACGTCAATCAGTGATGCGACAATTATTGAGATACATGTTTCAATTGTGATTTTATCGCTATTTGAAGCGTGAAAAATTGTTATTAACCTGTATACAACAAACTTAAATATGACAATCACGTAAATGTACTTTCGACCTACATCAATGACAATGATGTATAGTCATGGAGGAATCGCACGATCTTGAATACGAGGAAATGTTTCTTAGTGATTGTCGAAGGCAGAACAACGCGATACGTTTTTCCCTGGATCTTTCCACGTTCGCTTTCACAGCTTTTATCCTCGCGATAAAAGACATATTGTAAAATCTAATAAAAAGACTGGAATTCGAAAGTGGAACAAATTATGATTATTTGAAGAAATTGCGATCATTGTTCTGCGTCCGCATGCGACTCGAAATCTCCTCAATAATTACTCTTAATAATTATACTCTTGCGATCACCCAGCAAGAAACTTTCGTATCATTAAATGGTGACTTTAAGAAATCCGATTGTCTCGAAATAAATAGGTTTGGCGTTAATTGTATCACAAGAGAAAATGTATATATATATATATATATATATATATATATATATATATATATATATGGTATATATATGTGGGTGTCAGGGCAATCTCTTCCAAAAAAAGCTCTTGTAGTTTATTTCGAGAGCCTTTCAAAACACTATAATAAAATATTTTTTCATGGAGTACTTTTCGAGTTATGAGGCTTGAAATAATTTCTTAATTTTACATGAACCATAAAATATCTAGTAAAATATTCATTTCTCGATTATCTTACTACTTTTATGTACAAAATAATAAGAGGAATTAATTGGTGCAAAGAAAACACATAATTTTGTTTCGAAAAAACAAAATGTAATTATTAATTGCAAATTACATATTTTTTCTTCGAAACAATTACGTGTTTTTCTTTACTTCCAATTAATTCCTCTCATTATTTTGTACATAAAAGTATTAAGATAGGATAATAGAAAAATGAATATTTTACTGGATAATATTTTATGATTTATGTAAAAATTAAGAATTTATTTCAAGCCTCATAACTCGAATAGTACTCGATGAAAAAATACTTTATTATAATGTTTATAGTTTTGAAAAGCTCTCGAAATAAGCTACATGAGCTTTTTTTTTGGAAGAGATTGCCCTGACACCTTGTATCTGTAAATCGTATACAGCTTTTGCTGCTGCATCAGGAAGTTTGTAACTCGTCTCTTAGCACCTCGACGAAATTGCTCGATGGATGGACGTGTCGATACCAATAATAAGCTCGCGCTGCGGGAGTCGCCCTATTACATGATATTGCATAATGTAACGTGATGCAATGACGGGCAGGCCGCCCGGTATCTCGATGACGGATCGTTAACAGCTGATTGTGACGTTCGGCGAAGCGTCACGCGTCTTACCTGCAATTTCACGCTTTACGCATCCGCGGTACACATCATCGTTTCTCCGAGATGTCGGATCGCGAGCGATATATTGCGCGTATCAAAATTGTTGGTCTGTTAATTTTTTTCCCGTTGAACCGATTCATTATCTTGCGCTATCTTTCCGCGATCGTGGCCGCCTGATTGGCAGAATTTCCGATCCCTTTTCGCACTTC